ATATATATATATATATATATATATATATATATATATATATAAGGAAAAATTCGAAAAATTCGAAAAATTTTTTTTTTTTTTTACAATCAAACAGACTCTTCACATATCCTCCACGACTGAACCACAAACATCTTCGCATATCCGCCACCATTGGACAGCAAACTACGATATTCGTCTATTCGCTAAAATACATTTCCCGTAACATATCTCCAACTCAACGACCTATCAACGAATCGGCAGTAAAACTATTATCGAAGGCAACGACAAGGAATTTTTTAGTTGATAATATTGTTTGCTTTTGTATAACTCATCACTGCTTATCAACTCATCGTGTATATACTATATATATATATTTTCCACCTTTTTGTTGTTAACTAATAATATTGTGAAGAACAATATTCCATCCCGAATAAATCTATATCGCTGAAAAACGAATTCAACAGACTAGTCTTCCCAATAGAAAGCACCAGAAGTGAAAGTGACGATTATTTTACATCTGCGAGGTTTTTCAATTTGTTACAAAGTCAAGCTTCACTCCGCGATTTTCATGTGGGATGCGAATGCGTGCTTCAGCTTATGGCAGGATATCGTTTATGAAATTTAAGACAATGTTGATGATAATACACTGGGATTGATCAAATTCGAATAGAAGACCATGAACTATAGAAGTAGGTGTGTGCATGGAGCTTGCAAAAATATGTAGGGTGTAATAGCCGTGGGGTGATATCATCTTAAAATTGAATTTAGTCCTGCTAAAATGAGTCAGTGACTGAAATAGAAACGTTGATATTGTCACTCTAAACAGTGCCACTTTTGTAAATTGCAGGAATTCGATGGAATGAAGCAATTTTCTCGCTTTTCGCGAATTCACAAAGCATTCTCTCTATACCATCAGCAGGAATGAATCTCTAATACGCCCAAATGTTACGATCTTCGATTTGTGTGTGTCATCGCTCTGTCACATACATCACTTTATCCCACAATTAAATACAAATGGAGCACAACTAAACTGTCGCAATTTATTCCCCTTCATCTTCCTCATCACCCTCATCCTCTTTTTTACCCTTCCCATCCTCATTTTCCTCATTTTTCTTTTTCGCTTCTTCATCCTCCTCTTTTTCCCTTTTCGATTTTTTCTTCGGTTTCTCATCATCTTCTTCTTCCTCTTCCTCTTCCTCTCCCTCCTCTTCCTCTTCTTCATCCTTTCTGCCCTTAGTAGCTTTCTTTTCTACCTTCTCCTCCTCCTCCTCCTCCTCCTCCTTACCTTCCTCTTCTTCTTTCTTCGGCTTCCGCTTCATCTTCTTCTCAGCCTCATGCTCTTTTTTTCCTTCCTTGGCTTCTTCTGTAAATTTTTACAAAAACACCCTCAAATTTAAAAGTGGAAAATGCTTCCCTGCAATCGAGACAGTCTCTCTTAAACTCACTACCTCCCTTCTTGGTATGTTTTTGTTTTCGAATACCGCGATAATGACATACACACATACATGCAAACACATACACACACATACGTACACACACGCGCGCACAAGTTGACAGACATATTTGCAAGTTATTTTCATTAATCAGTTTAGATTACCCACCGACTTTCTCCTCCTTTCTGTCTTGAATCTGTTCGGCTTTCACCGTTGGCGCCTTTGTCGCCTCAGCCTTGGACGGTTTCTTTTTCGTTTCTTTCACCGCAATCCCCTTGTAGATTATTTTCACCTGTCGACGACAAGCGCCAATACTTGCCTGTAACGAATACACCAAAACGTGTTGCGAAAATAGTCCTACTTTACTGCTCCTGTTTTGTGCAAGGTCACATTATGCTGCGCTTTACAGTTGATTGGGAATTCCGGATTATTCGAATCCTCGTATCATCCTTACCGTTCAGAGGGGTAAAACTACGATACCAGCAATTCTTTTCGAATTCTATTGGAAAAATTTAGAAAACCTCTGATCTTTTGCTCTCTTTCCAGCTTTTCCAAGTTTTCATAGGATTATTGCACTTGTCGGGCGCTGGTGCCATCACAATCGTAAAGTGATCGCTTTTCTTTGGCTTCTTACTTGGGTCCCATTTTTTTAACGTCAAAATTACTTTTTTCTGCAAATTTTGCATGATAACTGAAAATTGGTTGAGACTTAGTAAAATAAACCTCACTCTTGTTAACAGTTTGAATAGTAAATTTATGAAAAAGTTATAATGTTTTAGCAAAACTAATAAACCTTGTCACCAGCTTCAACGAGTCCATAAACAGGTTTCATCTTGAATGCATCCGGTTTTGTGGTCTTCATTTTAAAAATGATTGCTTTATTCCAATCATTTTTTATGTCCAAATCTACTGCTTGGCGCTCAGTTAAAGGTGCTGAAAATGTTACCTGAAAAAAGCCACTGAGTTGAAGAACGTAAACTGAATGTGGTTGAACAAAAAAAAAAAACTCTGAGAAAAACGAAATTCCATCGAAACCACTTGTAATTTTCAGAAATAAAACAATTCTAAAGTTTCGTGAAGTTATTTGTAGGACTTTAGCCTATTTCTAAAATTGATTACAAGTTAAGTTCGTTGAAGCAGTTGATTTTTTTTCTAGCAATTGGTTTTAAAGCAATGTAATTAAAATAAAAAAGAAAAACCAACTATGATATTGGTTTCCACAAGCCATATTGGCTAACAAAAAGTGTCAAGGTTATGGCAATAAAAATTTCAGCATTTTGAATCATAAAGGAATGACGAACCATAGCAGGTTGCACGGTAAGTTTCTTGTCCATTACGCAAATTGAAGGTGTGGTTCCGGAACAACCTAACGACCACGAAACAAATTGTAAAATGTTTACCTTTCTCATAAATAATACTGTTATATCTAAAAAAATCCCACCGGAATTTCCATTTTCAAACTGTTCTCGAAGGATACGATGGTAATCCTATTTCTGATAAATGGTAGTCGAAATCAACTGAAATAACGGAAGTGGAAACCTATAAATGTACCTAATAAAGACATGATGATTTCAAATATTTTGTATTCAGCAAAGCTTATCAGAACAATCAATCCTTGTAACGTGATATTTATTATCAAGCCCATTTAAGATTATCCAAATCAGCTGCCAAATTGCACTCCATTTTCCGGAACTGAAATAAAAATTTTAAAAAATGAAAAAATTAAGAAAAAATTTACATGCAAGTAATTAATCCAAGTAATTGCCAGATAATGCGCACAATCATCACTACACTAATTGCAACTTCAGTAAAAAAACGGAAAACCTTGGAGGAGCCATTATATATCAGATTTCCTGCACTTACAATTTTTGAATTCTCTACTCATATTTTACGAAGAAAATGAGTGTTAATGAGGATGAGGATGTACATCCTGATGACAAATTTTTTTTCATTTCATATCAGAACCAGTTTCCATCGAATTAAACAATAAGCTAACTTCTCGATTTTATCGCTAACAGAGTGTAGAGAAGCAGCAAATATGAATTCCTTCTTGAATTTTCATTTTGTTCACAATCTTCGGCTTTTTTTATAACCTTTTCCTTTATCCAGAGCGATGTGAAACTTATTCTTCCAAATTTTTAAATTGAAGATATGAAGTCTGCAGAACAACTACGAGTTTTCTGAACCATAAAGATAACTTGAAGGAATTGCAATAAAACCCATAATTAAAATGCATAAAATCTAAACATTTTCCATAACTCGTAGGAATGCGTCGTATTATCGAGGAACAGTGATATTATAAACATCAGCAAATAACAGTATCTAAGAAATGCTCTATTTGCATCAATATATTAGAATCAATATGAAATTGTTGACAAGAATTAAACATAAATTGACGGTTGGTAATTTTCTTTTTCCTCTGAAGATGGAACTATCAAAAAAAGCCTGTGAGATGCACTTAGTGTTGGGAAGTTGTAACTATATTTGATGCAGAAGGAGCCATTCAAATACATCTTCCCCAAACCCTTATCAGGTCATATTCACGGAAGCTTATTTCGCATCTGTAGCATGCAACAGTTTAGCAAGTCAATTTAAACGTCAAGTATTTGTTTGGTTTGTGTAGGTGTTTGGAGGTCAGGAAGTGGTTTTTTTTATTTGTAGTTTCAGGTGTCTTTGTTCAAGCTAGCTTGTCACATAATTGCAGTCAACGATGGCGTCATCTGAAAGAGATCTCCCAGCAAGCGATGTTGGTTTTATTATTAGCTTTCTAAAGAATCAATGAGAACAATGAGAAAGAATCGTTGTTGCTTTGTTATTGCTTCTATTTTGAGTTCAGTTTTGCAGCGCAAATTTATGTGCATAGTACAGTTTGGGGATTTTAATTATTGGTTGGAACTTAATACTACTAGTTAGTGGATTGAATTGTCAGGATTGATCAAGATTATTTGTTAGTACAGTATTGTCTGTTACTGAAATCAAAAAAAGCTCGCCGTATAAGCGAATTCTTCCAGCAATTTAAAATTGTCACCTGTATGCCTCTTTTTTCCACTATAGTGGGACAATTTCAATGAGGACGCTGTCGTGATGAGTAAGTATGGCCGTCATAAGGACGAAGCTACTGGCCGTTGGGTGTGGAATAGTCCTGTGATTTCGATCAATGCACAAAAATTTGGTAACTTTTGTTTTAAAGTCGTGTATTGCTAGACTTTTTGACCAATTTTGAACTCATCGACAGAGATGTGGTAATTTGTTATGGAGCTTTGTCATTTTGCATGGAGTGAAATGATATATGAAAATGTATTACGACCATATGTCTGCTGCATATCTTAGTAAAGAAGCATTATAGTTTTGGTCTAAATCATTCCAAATGAAACAAGATACATCAAAAAACAGCTCGGTTAGAGCTGCTTATAGTGGGTGAGTAATTAGAAGCAGCATAAACCGAACTTGGTTTCTTGATATATCTTTTATTTAGAGTAATTTAAACCAAAACTATAGTGCTTCTTTATTAGGGAAATGCAATAAGCGATTAACTTTAGTCTGCAAATATGGTTTAATTCTAAAATAAAATTTATACATTGTTCATATGTCTTCCTTTTTAAATTGTTATTTAACACTGTTTTAAAGGCGAAGACAGAGGCCTTTATATAGTTGAAGCAAAGGGAAACCTGAACAAAAATAGACGCCCAGAAGCTGGCCATTATTTGAATCATTTGCTTAATGAGAGTTTTGTAATGAATGGACCCGGCGAAAGCGTCACCGTTGTGAAGTCGGTTTGTTATTATTTTTGAAGATTCATTTATTTAACATCGCGCGTGTTTTATTTAGTGATTTACCTAGTGATTTTTGTTTTTCTCTATCCAGTTGGAATTTAGCATCGTATAACCAGTAAAATTGACTTTTATGGTTTCCGCTTTCTAATAGAAAATTCTCAATTTTTAACGGTAGTGATTTACACAGAGTGTTCTGACGGTTCGTGGGTACTAAAGTAAAATTCACACACATCGCTGCATATTGAGATGTAAAAGAACATCTAGCAAACCACTTTAATTTATTTCTCATTAAACGATAATCAACATTGCTAATAACCAATATATGGTAAAATTGTATTCAATTTTAAATTAATGAACGGAGTATTTGTTTTATATGTTGTAAAACACACCTAAAACAGGTCAAACATTCTTATTATCCATCTTGTTTAGATCTTTTGAAGAAATGAACCTAAATTCGAGACTTATGCAAAACATTCAGGGAAAGAATTATTTCGAACCATTACCAATACAGAGAGCAACATTTTCGTTAATTCAAGCTGGCAAGCAATTTTGTTTGAAACAGTGTCATGCATTTTTTAAATTAGGCTGTTACAAACATATGACTTTATCCTGCCAAGTTTAAGTTCAATATTTAACACTTAGTGGCTGTATCGTTTTCAATCAAGAAAAGAATCACCGATAACAATTATCCAAAAAATATTTCTGTAATGTTTTCCACGGTTTGAAATTTAGGCTTCGATGTAATTGGGCATGCAATAACAGGCGGCGGGAAAACGGCTGCATTTTTAATACCAGTAATAAATCATATTTCAACTCAAAAAAGCAAAGGTTAGTTATTTATTTAGCTAAAATTTTCCTGTTAGACTAATGTTATGATTACCCTTATCATGCATATTGTTATCGCTGGAGTGAACAACGTTTTCTTTAAATCGTATGGTACTTTTTTATCCATGATTTTTATTGTGTTTATCTGCATTTTGTTCATGACGTTATAACGTATTGAAGGCTTTATTAATGGAAAAGCAATATTTTTCTTTTGAAGCTGGGTCCGTAGAAAATACATATCCTTATTGCATAGTCGTTTCTCCAACTAAAGAACTTGCTGAACAGTTATATGAAGATACGTTAGTATTTTCTGCCGGTAAGTTGATTCAAATTCAGTTTATAATCTGAAATAGTTTTTAAATTGCCTAATCTCGAAGAATATTATTCGAGTGATATCTTGCACTCAAATAAATTGCTGAGGTTGAATAATAATGTTTACAACTTTCAAATTTTGTCATCTCAGCGTATGAATTGGTTTCATCCCAAATTTCAGTTTTTCTGAAACAGCTATCCTTCCAGAAGAAAAGTAATATGCTATCAACTCTAATTGTCCATAATTTTCAGTTCAAGAATTTTGATGACATCCTTTTACTTACTTGGAAACTTGAAGTAACGCAAGATGTAAATTAGTTAACTTGTTGAGCTTAAAAACTTAGTCAAAATTTAGTCAATAATTGATCACTGAGAGTAATCCAAATAGTGTTTTTTAGGTTTGAATTGCACGGCTGTGCTAAGCTTCGGTGAGATACCTCGTCAAGACAACATTGCCCGTATCAAAGAAGGATGTGATATATTCATTTGTACGGTTGGGCGACTTTGTGACTACCTTCAGAATGAAGTTGTTAGTTGGAGTGATTTTATTGTCGAATTTCACAAGTTTTTATGGAGTATTCACGCATAAATTGCACTGCGTAGGCAATTTCGCTGCATAAAAACTGCATGTTGAAACCTTACGTAGATTTATATTTCCTCACTTCTGTTTTTTCCCAAAGAATTTGCGAAGTGGATCATTGCTCTACCTCCAATTGCAAGCAGTTTTCTACTCTAAACGAATTGCAGCTATGCTCTGTAATAAAGGTTATTGCAGTTAGAGTTGCGCCATTTGCACTTTTTGGTCTTTGATGAAGCAGATAGGCTGTTACAAATGGAGGGGTTTTACCATGATTTAATCGAAAATCTTTTACCAAAATGTCGTGATGTAAGTCGTTTCAGTATTTTTCTGTCAGTTTTCAGCATTATTTTCAAATTTGGTAACAGTTTTGATTGTAATTTCAACTTACTGCTACTTGGTGCGTTTCTTTATTGTTAAATGAAAGGAAAAAGTGACATGCTGACAATGATAGTGAATTTGAAAAGTAAATTCAAGTTTCGTCTTTGTTTATTGTAGCTTGTTTGTGTCTAGACTGAAATATTGAATGATATCCCCAAATTTATCATGTCTTACCAGAAATCCGTCAATTTACTGTAGAGAAATAAAATTTCATTCTTTTCGACATATCGATCTGTAATTTTGATTTTTAACATCTGTATATATGTTGTCTTCTATTTTATTACAGATTCCAAACCTCCGAAAAATGTTATTTAGTGCCACGGATTATAACGACCTCGCTGAACTGAAAAATGAATTTTTGATGCCGAATGCTACAAAAGTTGTCGTTGGTGCTCTGAACAGCGTAAATCCCTTTATCGAGCAACGGGTTTTGAAAGTACCAATTTGCTTTCTTAAATCTCCTGTTTTTCGATTCAAGATTTGTAACTATCATTTGATAAATTAAATGATTTTAAGAAATACCTGCAACTTTTGTGAGGTCTCCTTAATTTCATGAATACAGACAACAGTTGAGTTGAAAAGTTTCCGAATTTTGCTTCAAATTCAAGTAATATTTTTGGACTTTCATTGATTAGATATTTATGTTTCTAATGGCTTGATGACAAGTGCATTTCACTTCCTTGTTTTTGTAAGTAGGAATTCGTCATCATAAACCCATTTTAATAGTAATTTTCAATCCTTAATATGTTTAAAGTAGACATGAAATGATATCCAGAAAAAAAATTTAAGTTGATTGCTGTAGAATTATGTGTATTACATTTCAGGTGGAAGTTCATGAAAGACGTAAAGTACTGTTGGATTTGATACAGGACATGTACTTAAATAGTAATCCAGTATTAATAAAAATTTCTTATTTACATTTGAACGTAGATAGTAGTGTTCAAGGAGAGATGTGCAGATTCTCATTTTGCAAGTTTTTGACTAAGACAAAAAACTTTTCACATACACCAAGTATAATTTAAACATTTCTGAGTAAAAGGAAAACAGAGCAAAATTTTATTCCATCATTTCCAAATAAATCATAAAATTCTATTGTTATGAGATATATCGCTGTAAGGTATAAATATTCAATATGGCAAATAACTTGCAAAAAATTTTTGCTTGGAAATGATGGAGTAAAACATTGCAGATGCCGAAGAAAAAGAGAAAAAAAAATCATTTGAATGGTGAAGCTAATTTGGTTATGAAACTAATTCTTTCACAAGGTATTAATTCATTATTGCAGTGAACGATAACCCACTGTCAAAAACAATTATTTTTGTTAACACAAAACGTTTCGCAACAGTTATTGCATCTTATCTTTCGTTGAAAGGATATAAAGCTTATCCAATTCATGGGTACGCTTCTGTTTCTGAATTAACTGGAATTACTACATTTCGCATTATTCTGATGATAAAAAAGACTTGTAGAAAATTCTAGCTTATTTTTATATCCATGGTTTATTTTCGTCAAGCAATTCAGTTTTAAATTAACTTTGATGCTTTTTTTCCAGAAATCTTACTGCGAAATTGCGGAGGGAAGCGATTGAAGCTTTGCAATCCGGTGATTGCCACATAATAGTATCTACTGACGTAGCTGCGCGAGGTCTGGATATCAAGGGCATATCACACGTATATTATTTCAGAACTTTATGGAATTCTATGTTACTGAAGTTTTATTTTTGCATTAAAAAATGAAAAATTGTTTGAGATAGAATGTTTTGAGATTTCTCAAAAAATGTTACTCTTCGATATCATGAAGTATTTCTGTTCACAAGATTTGGAGCTACGATATTGTTGGATGTCTTATGGATTACCAGTCTCTTTCATTTACAGTATTGTTGTTCTTTAGATAATAAATTACGAAATACCAAAACCTGAAAGCTTTCTGTCATATGTTCATCGTGTTGGGCGTACAGGACGTGTTGGAAATGTAGGCCGTGCAACGACATTTTTTGCTCCATCCGTGGATCATGGCATGACTTTGATTCTTTACAAAGTACTACTTTATACAGTATTTTAAGTTATCGAATATTTTTCTACTGATTCTCAAAAGCATCCATTGATTCGAACTGTTATTTTGAGGAAACTTTCAAGTTGTGAAACTAATATTATTGACAATAGTTTTATATTTCGCAAGTTCAGTGAGCTTTACATACTGCTGGATTTCTGAAAAGAGTTCAAAGTCATCGATATTTACACAGTTCTGTTCTCCAGCTTTTGATTACGTTCACTCCTTAACATTTCAGTGGCTTGAAATGAATAAACAAGCAATACCTGCTTTCCTGCTTGAAGCCAAACACCGAATAGATACTGAAGATTTGCAACGAAAAAAAAGGGAAGAATATGAGCAAGCATTTAATGAAAGCCACATGGAAAGCAGTGATAGGGAAATGAATCGTTAAAGCGAGGAAAAAGTATTTTATAACTTTAATTTACTTTGATATTTGTCATATTTTCCACTGATGGGTTGTTCTGTGTCATGTACCGTAGAACTTCAGAGGAAATAATGTTTTCCATCTAAAATGAATTAAATGCGAAGTATTTTCTTATACATTATGGAATTCCCTGATTTTCCTAAACCTCCTTGCTGTTCTGATGTATTCTATTTCAGGTCATTCCAAGACCCCACTTCTTGATTTTCTTATAGTTGTGCGCATTACGCCCATAATCCATGTTGAATGATTTGAATTATGGAGATGCTTATCTGTTTATTTATATGTTTGTATAGAATATTTTTCTTTA